TTCATGTGGTATCCCTGTTTTGTTTTCACTTCTCTCCTGGACACACTAATTTTTTTATGATTATAGTATAAAAGCACTGTACTATTTTGTGCTTGTATATTGATGAAATGTATTTTAATTTTGTTATTGAAATATCATTAAAAAGACTAGGCGAAAATAGTAGACTATAATATAGCAGATTTTCTCTGTTGTGAAATCTAGCAAAAGCTGATTACATGTATGCAAAACTACAAGCTCTTGTGACAACCCAGTATCAGATTCTGCCACAACTGCTATGAGGACATGTGGAGATCAGGTTTCCTGAAATGTAACCATACTATAAGAGCGCTGAATTTTTAGAAGAGTAATCCAACTCAAGATAAGCACATCACTAAGAACAGACGACACACAAGTATGCTGCCCAAAAGAGTTCTTGATAAATTTATTTTCCAAACCCAAAGAGAAACTGTCCTCAATGCTAAATTTGTTCAGTAGTCAATTTCAGTTGCTAAAGATTTGTGTTTGGGTCAGCACATCAAACTATTAGACCCTCATTACCTGTTCCAGTCCCAAAGTTTTTCCCCCCCCATTTCCTGCACAAATTCCTGGATTCCAAGGCCCACCTTGATTATCATGCACATTGTGAAGAGAGTTGTCACTTTGGATGGGCTATTACCAGCAGGAGAGTGAGTTTGTGTGTGGGGGGGTGGAGGGTGAGAAAACCTGGATTTGTGCTGGAAATGGCCCAACTTGATGATCACTTTAGATAAGCTATTACCAGCAGGACAGTGGAGTGGGAGGAGGTATTGTTTCATGATCTCTGTGTGCATATAATGTCTGCTGCAGTTTCCACGGTATGCATCCGATGAAGTGAGCTGTAGCTCACGAAAGCTCATGCTCAAATAAATTGGTTAGTCTCTAAGGTGCCACAAGTACTCCTTTTCTTTTTATAAATATAAAGGGAAGGGTAAACCCCTTTGAAATCCCTCCTGGCCAGGGGAAAGCTCCTCTCACCTGTAAAGGGTTAAGAAGCTAAAGGTAACCTCGCTGGCACCTGACCAAAATGACCAATGAGGAGACAAGATACTTTCAAAAGCTGGGAGGAGGGAGAGAAACAAAGGGTCTGTGTGTCTGTCTATATGCTGGTTTTTCTGCCGGGGATAGACCAGGAATGGAGTCTTAGAACTTTTAGTAAGTAATCTAGCTAGGTACATGTTAGATTATGATTTCTTTAAATGGCTGAGAAAAGAACTGTGCTGAATAGAATAACTATTTCTGTCTGTGTATCTTTTTTGTAACTTAAGGTTTTGCGTAGAGGGGTTCTCTATGTTTTTGAATCTAATTACCCTGTAAGATATCTACCATCCTGATTTTACAGGGGGGATTTCTTTATTTCTATTTACTTCTATTTTTATTAAAAGTCTTCTTGTAAGAAACTGAATGCTTTTTCATTGTTCTCAGATCCAAGGGTTTGGGTCTGTGGTCACCTATGCAAATTGGTGAGGCTTTTTATCCAACATTTCCCAGGAAAGGGGGGGGTGCAAGTGTTGGGAGGATTGTTCATTGTTCTTAAGATCCAAGGGTCTGGGTCTGTAGTCACCTAGGCAAATTGGTGAGGCTTTTTACCAAACCTTGTCCAGGAAGTGGGGTGCAAGGTTTTGGGAAGTATTTTGGGGGGAAGGACGCGTCCAAACAGCTCTTCCCCAGTAACCAGTATTAGTTTGGTGGTGGTAGCGGCCAGTCCAAGGACAACGGGTGGAATATTTTGTACCGTGGGGAAGTTTTGACCTAAGCTGGTAAAGATAAGCTTAGGAGGTTTTTCATGCAGGTCCCCACATCTGTACCCTAGAGTTCAGCGTGGGGGAGGAACCTTGACAATGTGAATAGCCCCACTGACTTTTATTCATATCCTTAAAGTGAAGCAGTGTCTTAAGTTCTTTGACTGGGATCTTACTGTGGATATGTGGACATGAAGCAACTAGTTAATAAGAAACACAGTTGTGCTGCACACCAAGGATTTTGATAGCAAACTCATGGGCACGTTTATTCTGGAGACACTTCTAGTCATGCTTGATAAATGGCAGATTGCTGGATACATTATCAGTGTGGCCCCCTGAGACAATGGAACCAACATAATAAAAGCTTTTAAGTCTTGAGGTATGCCAAACAGACACTGCAGTTCTGTATTGTAACCTACTAGGTCATTTCTGGGCACTTTTCCCACCCAGTTTAACTTCTAGCCAGTAGTGGGCTCCATAATCCCTTAACCTCAGGAATGAGAATTAATATCCTTAGGTCAGAGTGGACCAGGCAGAGGAGGGAGGCTGGAGGCACAGCCTGGAAGCAGGCTATGGAGGGAGTGCTGGATAATAGGCAGCCAGGAAAGCTGACCAGAGACACATCCTGTTGCTTGCAGGTGGTCAGCAGTAGCTACAATAGCATACCAAGTAGTGGCCTGCAGGCAGGACGACATTGTGGAAGGGTTGCAATTGTACTCTTACCTTCCCAGCCCTGCACTGGGCTGCCTTTAGTGGCCGAGTTAGAAACTGTTATTTCTCTTTTGTGCTGTTACTTAAAACAATGTTGCCTAGGCTGTTTGCAGCTCTCATTTCTGGTAACTCTAGTAAAGAAACACTCTTGGTTACTTGAAGTGTGTTAGTGTTCTTGGGAACTAACAAAGGGCTGGAGCCTGAACAGTGTAGCGCTTTGGGCATCACCAGTACTTGCCTCCAAGGCTGTGGTACATCAAACATGCTACCAGATACCTAGGGCCTAGAATACCACAACACTCTCAGCCATACTCTGCCCTGGGGTCAGTTACAGTACCCAGGGTGCAATAGTGGAACATCTCTTGAAGGTAAACTTGATTGGTCTCAGCAGGAAGTTGCTGGGCCCCTTAAGACATTCTTCAGCAAGAAGAAGAAAACAACTGAGCTTTTAGAACAGGAGGCTATTAACTTCCTGAAATTTCATAGATGTTTTCTTTATCTCCAACCTTGAGCTGTTGAAAGTGAATACTGTACAGTAGAATTTATGGTTATATTATTAGCCATAAAATTATATTTGTGAACACCATCAGCAAAGAAGAAGAAATTTGCTTTCAGGAAATGCTAATTTTATTTGTGGAAAAAAATGTTTAATAGGATCTTTCTCCTTATATATAACCCTATTACATTCTCCCCAATCTCACTGAATAATAAACTGGTGAAATTGTCTGACGACTAATTGAGAGTATTTAGGGAATCTTATTGTCCTCTTTTAAGTGATTGTCCGCATTCATGCCACTCATGGGCTCTGTGCATGTGAATTAAGATTCTTTTGGCCAGCAGTGTCTGTTTGGGCCATGAGGAAGTTGCTATGTTTTCAGTTCTTCAGAATCCAAATGGAGGTCCTGGAAACAATCATCTAACACAAGTTATTGGGATTTCAGAGAACATATTTTGTTTCAGAAGCACCATGTGTCATTATTTCCAAAATGAAAATTTAATGGAATTTCTGTTGTTGGAAATTTTGAAATGTTGAAATTTCCCACAGAAGGCAAATTCTGTGTTTCGATTAGTTGTAATAATGAGCTGTGCAATAGCAGGACAGATGAAGCCCTTTACACCTTAGAAGATTCTGTGGCCCACGAGATAGATGATGGATATTGACCCAGTGAAGAACTTGATTTGTCAGAATGTTAAAAGCCAAATTTATGACCTTTTCAAGGTTTTTGGTTCTCAGGATTTTGCTGAACATAAGGCCTTTCTGATTCATTCCTCATCCAATGATAAGGCATCTTAGAGAGGGCAGGAAACGTTGTGTGTGGAAATGTTGGGTTATAGTATCACGTCACACGTGTGACCCCAAGTCTATAAGGGGAGTTTCTGTTTTTGTTAGTGTTCATTTTGCAACAAAAAAAAGGAAAAAGTTTGCTATTTTTGAAGAGCAAGTTTTGCTTCAGCAATTCATGTTCCTTTAGCTGAAATATGGATTGATGAATTGATTGTGGTTTTCCAACTAAAAATATTATTTGTATGTATGTATCATAGAATCATAGAAATGTAGGGCTGGGAGGGACCTCAAGAAGTCATCAAGTCCAGCCCCCGGCACTGAGGCAGGACAAAGTAAATCTAGATCAACCAGATGTTTGTCTAACCTGTTCTTAAAAACCTCCATTGATGGGGGTTCCACAACCTCCCTTGAAAGCCTATTCCAAAGCTTAACCACCCTTATAGTTGGAAAGTTTTTCCTAATATCTAACCAAAATCTCCCTTGCTGCAGATTAAGCTCGTTATTGCTTGTCTTACATTGAGTGGACATGGAGAGCAATTGACCACTGTCCTTTTTATAACAGTCATATTTGAAGACTGTTATGAGGTCCCCCCCTCAGTCTTCTTTTCTCTAGACTGAAGATGCCCAGTTTTTTCATCTTTCTTCATAGCTCAGGTTTTCTAAACATTTTATCATTTTTGTTGCTCTCCTTTGGACTCTCTCTAATTTGTCCACATTTTTCCTAAACTGGGGTGCCCAGAATTGGACACAGTACTCCAGCTGTGAGGCCTCATCAATGCCTAATAGAGCACGACAATGATCTCCTATGTCTTACACATGACATTCCTGTTAATACACTCCAGAATTATATTAGCCTTTTTCACAGGTGCAGCACATTGTTGTGCCACTATGGTGAGACCGTTTTTTTTCCATTTATGTATGGCATGACATAATTTGCATTTTTTATGTGCTAAGTGAAAAATACCAGTTTCCCATGGTGAATGTAAAACATTTACTATGAAAGAACCTATCAGCCTGTGTACTTGTTTTTCCAATTTGAAAATATGGTGGTAGACTGGGGTAATGACATGATTCATATATTATGAACTTGTTGCTCAAGAATTTCAAAGTTTTGTGCTGAGTAAAATTGTGTTTGTGCAAAAATGTGGCAATATATCTGAATATCTGAGATCACAATTAAGCTTGTATCGAAGAAGTACATGGACTGACAAAACATGTCTGTCTGTCTGTCTGTCTGTCTATCTATCTATCCAGGTATTTACATGGTTGCTATCACTGTAGTATCTGAATTGATTAATCTGAATTCAAATTAATTGACTTTATTTCTGGAAATGAGAACAGAATATTTTTGTAATAGTGTTTGATGATCGACTTGCTACTTCAGGTTACAACAATAAATTATATTGGTGATTTTGATTAATACTTTCAGCTAGACAATAAAACATTCTATAACATAAAACCATGAAAGGATCATGTTATGGGATTTGTAAATAAAAGTCAAACAGTTTGAAACATGGCTTTCAGAAACTCTATGGTTTGGATAGGCTTGATTTTTACTTTTGTTTTGCTGCTTTCAATATGAAATCGCTGTTCTCTTCTCACTTCACATTCCTTGCTATTCTTGGCTTAGAGCTTCACCTACTGTGTGATTCACAGTTATAATAACTTGTATATGCCTTCATGTGAGACAGCTTGATTCATGTTCTTCATCCTTCTCATTACAGTACACGATTCCCTTTTTCTTTCTTCCCATCAGGAGAAGTAAAACGGAAATCAGATTTGGAAAAGGATTATACTGAATGCCTACTGTTGTATCTCATAAGCAACAAAAGCTTTTTTCTGAAAGATGAGGAGACGATTTCTGGTTCATTGTACATACTGAGTAGTGGAACAAGTACACAGAGGTCACAGTGATTGGATTCCTGGAAAAGGAATAAAAAGTTAAAATTATATTTTCCATGCACCGAACCAAAATCCATCCAGAAATACATTGAAAACATAGAAAATGAACACTGAGTTAAAAGAATAAACCTCAAGAACACAAAAAGTAAAATGCAAGAAAAATTGATATTATGTAAGAATAGATCTATTAAAAATGTATTATCCATTTACCAAATTACAATACATTACCTAAAACAGAAGAATCCTCTTAAATGAATGAATAGCAAAACCCTCAAAGCCTTGATGCAAGTTTAACTATTAGCCAATTTCAATTATACCCAACATGTCCAGCTAACTGGAAATTCTTTAAGAAACTGGGAAAGAGGAATAGCAGGCCCTACACTTTCTTTTGTCATTTTATAGTGGGCCTGATCTTGCTCCCAGTGAAGTCAAAGAGGCGTTTTGCCATTGATTTAAATGGCACTTGGATTCATTCTTATATGTAGAGAAAATGTGCTTTGCTAGTTTATTCCCAAAATAATGAATCACATAGAATTACTTTCATCCTTATTTTTGTCCTTTTCTTTGCAGCTAAAATGCTCTAGCAATTATTTTTAAAAAGTAATGAAGTTCTGAGTAACTCACTGATATTTTTTTCCATTTATTCTCAGCCTCTTACAAATAGGAAGGAAAAAAACCCTCAATTATTTCTTGTCAGCCTGTGCTGGACACAGATTCAACATTATGCTAATTTTTATTTAAAAATTTCTTGAGGTAAATGGATTTTTTTTTTCACATTCTATGTCTGGCATAGAAACATGGGTGATGAAATTATATGAATTATCTGAAAGACTTATTCCTTTTCTGTTGTATAATCTTATCATTCATCAATTTGTCTCCCTACCATATCAGGGATCTTATCATATCACCTCTAAAACAAACATTTAAAAAAATCCTACTGAAATGTGTCTGACTTCTTGTATTTTAGCCAGTGTTGTCATAATAGAGAAACTTTTTTTAAAAATTCCCTACTCTGTGGTATCCTGATAAAAACCATAAGTTTTCTACTAGTCAGAATTCATTAGCAAGTACACCATACTTGCCAGAAAAATTACTTTTCCTCTAACAACCGCCCTCCCCAGCTGTCCTTCCCTTCCCCTTCCTTTACCCCTTATGATTTGAGAGGCATTAACAGGCCACTTCATCTTGAATGGCCCCTTGAAATATGTAACTAGTAACTACTTATGCTAAAAAATCTGTGCTACCTTGTATTTAGCTGTGGTATTCTGAGTACATTTCCCAGACTTGAAGAAGGGCTTTGTGTAAGCTCAAAAGCTTTTCTCTTTCACCAGCAGAAGTTGGTCCAATCAAAGATATTACCTCACCCACCTTGTCTCTTTAATTTTCCTTCTACTAGCATCTTTATATACATCATGTAGTGTTCAACTTGATGCACTGGATGGCACTAAGTTTCCAAAAACCACCAGACTTTATGTGCTCTTAACTTGAAAATCTGCTTTCTTGTCAGAATTATGCAAGACGTTGCTGCAAATGTAATTTGTAAAATTCTAATTGCAGTCCACCCTTTCAGGACTTACACGTACTTCTTCTTTTGTAATTTTTAAAATTCCTATACTTTCCTTCATCTTTCTTTTCTTCCTAACATAGTTATAGAACCTCTTCTTATTGCCTTTTATGTCACTTGCTAGGTATAACTATTTTGTACCTTAGCCTTTCTGATTTTGTACCTACCTGCTTGTAACATTCTTTTGTACTTATCCTTAGCAATTTGTCTATGTTTCTACTTTTTGTAGGATTCCCTTGGGATTTTCAGGTCATTAAAAACCTCCTGATGCAGCCATATTAGCATCTTACAGTTCTTCCTATTTCTTTTGCATCAGGATAGTTTGCTGTTGTTCCTTTAATATTGTCTCTGTGAGAAACTGCCAGCTCCCTTGAACTCTTGTTTCCCTTTAGATTTGCTTCCCATGGGACCTTACTTACCAGTTCTCTGAGTTTGTTAAAGTCTGCTTTTTTTTTGAAGTCCACTGTCCTTGTTCTGCAGCTCTCACCCCTTCCTTTGCTTAGAATAATGAAATCTATCATTTCAACAGCAAGTCGACCCCAGTACATTATGTTGTTGCTTCATGCATCTAAAGATAGCTAGTGCCCCTTAGGTAAGCTACAGAGTGTGAGGAGAACTAACTCCTATGTATGGGTATGTCTACACTGCAGCTGGGAGCATGCTTCCTGGCATGGATGGAGAGACGTATGCTAGCTCTGCCTGGGTACAAGCCACTGCCCATGCTGCCACAAGCTGCATTGCTATTTTGAGTGTTAGTTTGAGCAGAGCTAGCGTGAGTCTGTCTACTCACACTTTGAAACACCCTTCTAACTGCAGTGTAGACATAATAAATGCCAACACATTAATCACTGTATTTATTATTGAGAACCATTCCTGCTTCCACAAAAACAACGAGGAGTCTTTAAGGTGCCACCAGACTCCTCGTTGTTTTTGTGGATACAGACTAACACGGTTACCCCTCTGATTCCTGCTTCCCTACTGCTGGAGTGAAGGTTTTTAGAAATGAGGAAACAGGGCTGACTTAAGAAAACAAGTGCCAGTAGTGTTACCATAAAGGCATTATATTTTAAGAATGTTGTTTCCCTAATTATTCCGAATACATGGCAACAAGCATAGAATCTTTTTGCAGCTTGATTTGATTGCAACATCTAGATGAGTGGCTAAGCATTAGAGAAGCACAGTGGTCCAGTGGTTGGGCACTGAACTAGGACAAAAGAGACTTGGGTTCTATTCCTTTCTTTGCTTTGTGACCTTGGGCAAGCTTCTGTTCCTTCCCTGCCAATCTACCCCACCTGTTTTATCTATTTAGACTGTAACGTACCTCCCAGCATTTCAACTCGTTAAAGCAGGAAGCAGTACCACTCAGGTTTGACCTGGCCACCACTCTGTAAATGGAGATAGAGGGGTGGCCAGACCAAACCAGAGTGGCACTGAGACCCTGTGTGCCAGGTGGCAATGCCACTTGATCTAAGGGCCCTCTCAAATGGGAGGCCTGGGGCAAACTGCCCCCCAGATGTCCCTGAACATGGGAAATGCCCTGCTTTAACTGGAACAGGAGGTTTTGGGGGAAATCCAGAACATCTGGGAGGTGTGCTGTAAGCTTTTTGAGGCAGGCATTGTCTGTCTCTCACTGTGTTTGTACAGTGTCTAGCACAGTGGAGCCCTGGAGTCTTTGGACTCTACCATAATAAACTAAATTATAATACCTGAAGAGCAAATTAGAACATTGTTTCTGCCATGGTTGTAAAATACTCACATGGAGAAAAAAAAATTTCTGACTAATGCCTATGGTGACATGCTTCCAGTCACACTAGCTTGCATTTCAGATATAGCACAGAATAACAATGATTTGAGATACAGCATCAAATCTTGATAAAGTTGCTTGTCTACCTTCTGATTTAGAAAAGTAGGAGAGTGGTGGTGATTATAATAAACAAAATAGACAGTAGTTGGGGAAAACAGGAATTAACTCCATTCCAAAATGCTTTATTAAATATGATTCCAAATGCCAGAATATTAATGACATATTAATATAAATAAATATGCACTGCATATTTCTGAAATGTCATGTTACTTATGTGTTTGAAAACCTGACAGCATCTTCTCTTCATGGGCTCAGATTCTATGCTGCTCTGTTGCAAAAAAATAAAAAAGAAGATCTGGAGATCTGTGTTGAAAGAGGTCTGAGGGAAAGTTAGTGGAATCTTTAAAAAACACAAAACAAAACACTAAACTGTAATATATAATCACAGAGAGTGGATCAGAATGAAACATTTTGAGATTGCATTGATGCTGACTTTAGCTGGAATAACGTGAGCTTTTCAGCAGCTGCATGTATGTAATCACAGAAGAGGTGTGTGGTAACATATAGTTTTTCACATGTGTCAGCAATCAAAATGGAAATTGTAGCATACAGGAATATTATATGGATTTGGATGCTGAACTCACTGCTTGTCCGTAAAGCAATGAATGGATTACATGGACACATAAGTTCTTACCAGATAACCTTTTCCTGATATTATTCATGCTCTGTAAAGTGGTAATGATCTGTGCTGTAGCATGAAGGTCCCAGGAATGCCTGTCAAAGCTGAAGGCATAAAAATGTGGAGATTTTATGCAAATTACTCAAAATGCTAATTTGCAAATCTGAATATGTACTGCCTTATTTACAGAAGCAACAGCAAATATTCTGATTGCTGGAACTTAAGCCTGCCAAGGCTACAGTGTGGCATGAGCTTCAGGAACATAAGATTTGCTATGCTTCTGGCAGGCTTTTTGGGCTATCTCCCTGCCTTTGTTCTTCAGAAAACTTTGATGGGTGTCAGGAATCAGGGCTTGCAATAGAGTCAGTCTGGAAGCAGGCTCTGCAGCAGAGCCAATCTCTGGGCAATTTAACAAGCGCAGCTGGTCTGTAGTAGGTTGCCTGACAGGCTATACTGCCTGATTGGTTAGAAGTGTCAGCAGATCAGGTTTTAAGCCCAGAAGCAGCAATGTAGTAGCTACTCTAAACATTTGCCTATGGCTGTGGTAGCCCTTGTGTCTGCTTGTTCTCAGCCCTGCGCCTACCTTGGCTTACCCTTGCTTTGCTCCAGGTAACCTGGATTCTGATGTTCAGCTCCAATTCCAGACTTCTGACTTTGGCTCTGATCCTGGCCCTGGGCTCTGATTCCTGATCCTTGGCTTTGACCTTTGGCTCTGGCACTGATTCCTGACTCCTGCAGTAGCCAGTAGGTATTACTACCCACATCCTTGTCTCTGACAGTGGTTGCTCCAACCTTTGAGTGGGTGGAAGGCTGGGGTGGTGTTGCTAGCCTCTAGTGCCAGTTGCTCCTTTCTTTGGTCTGTGAGGGGTGGTCTGGCAGGGAGACTGGTCCCTTGCTGGGTGTCTAGCTCTGGTTGCACCCTGGTTTGTGGGATGAGCTCTATCTGCTTTCCCCTGGTTATTGCTCCTAGGCATGGGTGAGAGATGGTGCTCTAGCCATAGCTCCAAGCTATAGCTAACTGTGAGATGATGTGCTTGAAAGGCCAGTGTTTTTCAGCCTTCTCAGGTTGTCAATCTCTTATTCAAAGTCAAAACACTTTTGTGACCTGTTTATACTTGCTATAAAAATAAGAGTAAAAACTGTACCCATGATAAGTCTATACAATTTATTTGTGAGGGTGTTTTGAAAGGTTGACGGAGAACATATGGCCTTGAAGGATAAGAGTGTGTGGGGTATAGAGAAGTCAGACTTCCTTTGATTTAAATAGTAATAATATTTTCTGTTCTATCCAGCTCCCCCCCCATTACTTTCTGGGACCCTCTGGAGTTGCAACCTGCTAGGTGAGGAAACGATGTTCTGGACTACATCTTTTTGGGTAGAGCCCTCCTGGATGGGTCTCTATGGTTGGAGTCCTGGAGGACCAACCTGGTAAATCCCGATTAGAGTAGCCATAACCATAGTTATTCAGACTAGCATATCTTCTCTGCTCCCCAAATCAGGCTTAATATTCAGTGACAGGGGTAATTCAGGGAGCAGCTGAACCCAGGAGCCGCCCAGCCACAATGGAGCCTGCATCGGTCTGGTGCCAGGTTCTAGTCCTGCGGCTGAACAAAGCAAGGGGCTGTTAGGCTTGCTGTGATGCAAAGTAGAATCTAGGTGTATTTTGATAACTGTCCAGATGTGGAATGACCCTGGGCAAGTTCCCTCCAGAAAATTAATATAAAGGGCCAGAGTATTGAGGAGAAGACAAATGGGCACGCCCCACAGACTGCTTACTCAGAGAGGCCAGTTAGCTGAAGATCCAGATCAAATGCACTATATATAGTGTACATTATCCTTTATAGCCTGCTTTGTAAAAATATACAGTCAACAACAACCTATGTGGATAAGTATGAGATGTATTACTGACCACAACTGTTCAAGACTCAGGTCATAATATTGGCTTAAAAATCATGAGATCTTAAAAATGATACATTTTGGGTTCTCTTTGTTTGCCTTCTAGTTTTTGAGCCTAGAGTGTAGCATTCATAGATTTTCAAGCTTTTCCTTGTAACCAAAGACTACTTAAAAGTGAAAGCTGAGATTCTCTTTTAATCATGTGATTCCATGGACTGGGGCTTTTAGAAAAACACTAAATATTGTGATACTCCCGGTAAGACAGTTGGTAACCTTGGCTTTAACAAAAAGATACAGGTTTTGACTCTGCTCTCACACTGGTATTATACCATTCTTATCACCATTGCCTGCAATAGTATTACTCCTGATATACAGTGAGGTAAATGAGAGCAGAGTCTGGCTCCTTGTATTCTCCTGTGTAATGTGGATATTAAATGAGGTACAACACTTACATTGGAACTGACAATCGTGGCAATAGCTTTATTTAAGTTGTTACCACAGTTTTGTAATGGAGGGTTTATAGTTAGTGTGTTTGAAACGGTTTCTCAATTTACGGTGTCTAGGGCTCTGAAATGGAAACTCTTAAATGAGAAAACACTGTTTTTTATGGGAGCTGCAGGTGGCAGCAAGGGCTAAGATATCAGAAAGTATGTGTTTCATTCCCTTTCGCCAGATTGGCTTTGCAGATTGCAATTTTTTTAATGTCAGTGCAAAACTTTTGTTAAAGCCCAAAATTGTGTATTTTTAAGGACTTGACAACTCCTCTTGAGTGGAGAGTAACACATTTCCAGTAATTTTAATAACATTCCATTGCTCACTTCTGAATGCACAGCACTGTGTCTCTAGTCAGGGTTTGTTTTTTTTGGTAAACCTTTACAGCATTGGCACAATACTAGAATGATTTCTATTAAACTTTTATCCAGTTAGAACAAATAAAAAGTAAGGGGTTAAGGAAATCTTTATATTTAACACATCAAAACATTATGTCCATTTGACTTTGTGAATTGGTTTAACTAACATTTTGTCAAAGTTCAAAATTCTATGTTAGAGAAAAACATTGAACAAGATTTAGATAACTAGAAAAATTAATACTTGTAATACAGGACTTTTTACAATATAATAGTGATTAAAGACTAAGGATTTGTCTACATGGTGGGGTAATAGTGCACCTTAGAAATCACATGCCTTTAGTGTACCTAATGTGTTGTGTATTAATTGGTGTGTGTAGACCCTGCTGGTGCACACTTTTAGTATTGTATAATTTCAGTCTCTTTTCCCCTAAGCAGTTATATCTGCCAACATTCGCTTTATCTAAAAATAAACAGATAGATTTGAGCTTGGGTAAATCAGTGTACCTCCAAAACATAACTGCCAATTAACGTGCTGAAGATCTGGGTCCTTGCAGCCTGCAATAAACCTAGACTTAACATGCATTAAGCTATTTACAGAAGTGTTTGGTGAGACTATAATAACTGTGGACAATTTTATACAGTGTATATCCCTATTAACTGCACTGCTTGTGTAGAAAGAGGATGTTTAAAACTCAGTTAATGTGATCTGTTTGACCATACCTGTTTTGTGTGTGTGATATATTCTTTCTAGATTGTCAGGATGTTTTCATTCCTCAAAAAGGTCTAGTCTTGATCTGATTTAAACACTTCCATTCCCCTGTATGTGCACCAATATGGTGTATTAAGAGTCTCATAACTATCATTAGTGGACTTAGCAAAGTAATACACGTATTAGTTGAATACTGTCTGACAACTTTCTCATCCTGACTTCTGCCAACAGTTGCATTTTGAAAATTACTTCTTTTTTTTTTATAGTCAGCCATTCTCTCCTAACTCAGATAAGTGCTGGAGATTGATCTTTGTATTAAATATTGTATCAAATGATACACAGTAGCTGGTTCAGAAGGATGAAAGCTACTTATTTTTGACTTTTAAAGTGGAATTTTTTTAAACTAGGAATATTTTGTTAGGATTTCAGACTGCATTTGGGCTCCATTCTCACAGAAGAAAGGTAAATGCTACTAAAAAATTATATTCTGATTATAGAAATGGATACTGAAATTGTATTGCAATAGTTGAAAGGAGTAAGTTCCCTTATTTGGCAAGTAACACCAACAAACTATAGGAAACAACAAAGCAGTTGACACTTCAGAATACAAATTAAAACACAACTAGTAGCTCACCACCCGTTCCAGGTATTCATTGATTACAAACTGGAGTGCCTGCATAGCATGAAAACATTAAACCACTGGCAGTTCTGGTGGAAAGTATTTTCTCCTAATTTTTCTCAAGATGCCACACCACAAAACCTGTGGTCTCCTCCAGGCCTTGGGCACCCTATCTCATCCCTGGACAGCCATCACCACAGACTTCATTGTAGAATTACCAGAGTCTAACAAATTTACAACAATTTTGACTGTATTGAACCACTTCATTCCCTGTACAGGTCTCCTCTGCCCTCACTGGGGAAATGTCCCAGCTATGGATTAGCCATGAAGTCCATCTCCATAGCCTTCTGGAGTGCATTACCTCTGATCAGGGGTCCCAAATTTTGGCCCAGTTCTGGCATGGGGCTCTGCACATGCCTTTCCTCCACTTATCATCCCCAAGCCAACAGCCAAATGGACATGACCAATCTGGGGGGACGGGAGGAGGGGATAACTCAGTGGTTTGAGCATTGGCCTGCTAAACCCAGGGTTATGAGTTCAATCCTTGAGGGGGCCATTTAGGGATCTGGGCAAAAATCAGGGATTGGTCCTGCTTTGAGAGGTGGTTGGACTGGATGACCTCCTGAGGTCCCTTCCAACCATGATATTCTATGAACCAGATCCTCAAGCAGTATCTACAATGGTGTGTCAATCATCACCAGGATGATTGGTCCTTGTTTCTCCCTTACGGGGAGTTTGCGTATAAGAATGCAGACCATACATCCATGGGTCAAAACCCCACCCCCTTTAAAAAAAAAAAAAAACAGATATAGCTTCCACCCACAACTACCATGTTCTCTCTGAAGCTGGCTGCCTGACACCTAGTGTGGCAGATTCCTCACCTTTTTCCTGGGTCTGGTGAAACACTTTGAAAAGGTGAGAACAGACCACAAACAGTACGTGGATCAGCATCAACAGCAAGGTCTCACCTATTCAGTGGGGAAAAGTATGGCTCTGCACCTCCATATGCAGACCCACTGATACACTGGATTTTCAGTTCCTAGGATCCAGCAACAGATCAACCCAGTCCCTTTGAACTGCCACTACTCTAATCTCTGAAGATTGACCAATGTTTCAGGCATCACTTCTGAAACCTGACATGAAAATCCCTATCCCATGGGTCCTGCATGGGAAAAGAGGGAACATCATTTCATGGATTGAGAACTGGTTAAAAGACAGGGAACAAAGTGTAGGAATAAATGGTAAATTTTCAGAACGGAGAGGGGTAACTAGTGGTGTTCCCCAAGGGTCAGTCCTAGGACCAATCCTATTCAACTTAATTCATAAATGATCTGGAGAAAGGGGTAAAGAGTGAGGTGGCAAAGTTTGCAGATGATACTAAACTGCTCAAGATAGTTAAGACCAAAGCAGACTGTGAAGAACTTCAGAAAGATCTCACAAAACTAAGTGATTGGGCAACACAATGGCAAATGAAATTTCATGTGGATAAATGTAAAGTAATGCACATTGGGGAAAAAAACAACCCCAACTATACATACAATATGATGGGGGCTAATTTAGCTACAACTAATCAGGAGAAAGATCTTGGAGTCATTGTGGATAGTTCTCTGAAGACGTCCACACAGTGTACAGCGGCAGTCAAAAAAGCAAACAGGATGTTAGGAATCATTAAAAAAGGGATAGAGAATAAGACGGAGAATATCTTATTGCCCTTATATAAATCCATGGTACACCCACATCTTGAATACTGCATACAGATGTGGTCCCCTCATCTCAAAAAAGATATACTGGCATTAGAAAAGGTTCAGAAAAGGGCAACTAAAATCAGATGAAGTGAGCTGTAGCTCATCAAAGCTTATGCTCAAATAAATTTGTTCGTCTCTAAGGTGCCACAAGTCCTCCTTTTCTTTTTGTGGATACAGACTAACATGGCTGCTACTCTGAAACCTAAAATGATTAGGGTAGTGGTTTCCAAACTGGGGTTCACAAAATGTTACAGGGTGTTTTCGGGGGTGTGTGTGTGTGTGAATTCCCTAATGGTGGACAGAGCTGTCCATAAGGACCCCAGGCAGCACGGGGCCAGCAGCAGACTTCCAAGAGCTAAACCGATCAAAGCAAGCACAGGAGGAGGAACCTGAGGAGATTTAAACTTCAAGACTCATAAGAAATGGAAAAGGAGGTGGATATTTTTTGATGTTTTTAAAATTAAATTGGCAGCTAGTATTGTTTTTAAAATTATTATGAAGAACATGTTTAAGTTTTGTTGTAACGTGTGTTGAGCAGTCTAGGCAAACAAGACCTGAATGCTTGTGTAGGAGGAACTGTTTGTTTGAGTTGGCTTCTTAAATACCTTGATGCTGTTTCACATAGGAGCCTTGTCTTGTAACAGGCTTATTCAAAGTGATATGAAAGTGAGATCTTGGAAGAGTGTTGCCGTTTTCATAATGTAATAAAAATATTGTAGTGATAAATAATTAATAATAAATAGTGTGTAATAAGCATGTCATAAAAACAAATTTTATATTTCCAAGATCACTGCTTTTATAATTTATATTCAGGTAAAGGAGAAAATCCCTGGAAATATTCATTTTTAGGAGGGGGTTCGCAAGACTTGACATTTTCGTGAAAGGGTTCACAGGTTGTTAAAATTTGGGAGCCACTGGATTAGGGGTTTGGAACAGGTCCCATATGAGGAGAGATTAAAGAGGCTAGGACTCTTCAGCTTGGAAAAGAGGAGACTAAGGGGGGATATGATAGAGGTATATACAATCATGAGTGGTGTGGAGAAAGTGAATAAGGAAAAGTTATTTACTTTTCCAATAATATAAGAACTAGGGGCCACCAAATGAAATTAATGGATAGCAGGTTTAAAACAAATAAAAGGAAGTTGTTCTTCACTCAGCACACAGTCAACCTGTGGAACTCCTTGCCTGAGGAGGTTGTGAAGGCTAGGACTATAACAAGGTTTAAAAGAGAACTGGATAAATTCATGGAGATTAAGTCCATTAATGGCTATTAGCCAGGATGGGTAAGGAATGGTGTCCCTCGCCCCTGTTTGTCAGAGGGTGGAACTGGTTGGAAGGAGAGAGATTACTAGATCATTACCTGTTCGGTTCACTCCCTCTGGGGCACCTGGCATTGGCCACTGTCAGTAGACAGGATACTGGGCTGGATGGACCTTTGGTCTGACCCAGTGTGGCCATTCTTATGTTCTTATGACCCAGCCATCGCTTCCTCCAGCTCAGGTACAGGGTTGTGCTTTACAAGGTCCTGGACTCTGAACGAAGTACCACGATCTCCCCTGTTTATCAGCTGGGAGGGATATGGTTCTGATGAGTGCACCTGGGAGCCATTGGAAAAATGTACAAGTGTTCCATAGGAAGCACCCCAAAATTCCAGTCCAACACTTTTCAGCAGGTGCCCCACAGGTCTCCAAACCCTGGTCCAGAAGGCTCTTAGGAGCCAATATGTTTCAACCTGCCACCCAGTAACCTGGTAACAGTCACCAGAGCTCAAAGTTCAACTTCAGGAGAGGACTCCAGTCCTGGGATCTGATTGATTCTTTACTTCTATGTAAACCAAACAGGGGTCCAGGAAGTCATCCGTGCAACTGGCCTTCCCTGTGCTACCTGATTTTGACTTCTTAGTATCCTGACCTGGCCTCCCTCATGACACTTGACTCCCAGTTGCCCTCTGGCCTATCTTGGGCTCTCAAGTTCTGCCAGCCAGACCTGACCTGACTCCAGACTCCCACTCTGTCTGCTAGTTTAGACTGCTCACGTTCTGGTTGTGAAAGGGTCACATTAGAGTCCACTGCACTAGGCCTCAGGCAGCCTCTCTGTTTTCTTGGGTAAGATACCTACATATTTCAGATTTAGGTATAGCCTGAGTTCTGTTCATACTTACTTACCTTCCAGATTAGGTGCCAGCTGTGATAGGGATGTCCTGCAGTCTCTCTTTAATTAGAACTCCTACTCCCACCTCCATGTTTGAGAACTGTGTGTCAGTCATTTAGCGTGGAATCTGTGTGGACAATCATGCAAAGAAAGCATGTTTGCTTACCCTACAGCAACTGAGGTTCTTTGAGATGTGCTATCTATGCAGACTGCATAACCTGCATACCAATTTGGAGTCTTATCCACTTGGGATTCTTATTGCCAAAGGAACTAAGTGGTGGTTGAGGCCACCCTGCCCCACCCTCTGCTACAGTGGTTATGAGGGCACATTAGGGTGCTGGCACAACAACAATGGATGTTGCTATCCAAAAAGATTTATGGAGAACCTAGAATGGTATCTGTGTAAACAACACATCCAAGAATCACAGTTGCAAGGTAAGTAAAATATTTTTGGATGAAATGAGCATTTTCTAATGAAAACATTTAATCAAATTTCTAGTTAGCTGTAGTAAATTTTTCCCCCTTCATCTCCTAGGCAAGATCGGTGCTCTAGGAATTATTGTGAGTTTTCTGAGCCCCTTACTCAGGGCAGTAGCTGAATACCACAATCTAGCCCTCTATTACCCTCCTGACCTAAAGTTCTCCATTGTCCCTTTTATTTTATTCCTGTGTCTGACTGAAATAGCTGGAAATGTCCTTGCAGCAAAGCTTTGTTTAAAATGAACTAAAAAGTTTCTTGTAAAATAGCTTTTGCCAATTCTAGTTGTTATCCAATAAATTGTGCTGTGTGGGGTCACTCTAGATTCTTTTATGATTTCCTCTTCACTGGTGGTATGGTTTCATTAATGCTGTAGTAGCCAGCCTGGTGTCTTAAATGGTAACAACCTGTATAATAACCTTAGTCCTCTCATTCAGTGGGCAATCAGAGACAGGACACTGAGGACAAGATGTTCTTGTCCTAGCACAGGAGAATAGGTCACAAGATGTTGATCTTATGCCCTACCTGTCAGGCGGCTATAAAATGCATGATAGCACCCTGAGAAAGCGCAGGCGGTTGGCCTAAGTATAAGCCTGCTAAAGAGGGGGAGGAAACAGACAAGATTAATGCCCTCTCTGAGAAAACTATAATACAACTGTTTCATACTCTTCCATTGTTAAACTCCATTTCACAGCTCTCTGCAGATATATGGCTTTTTTCAAAGTTCACTGAAGTTAGTGGGAGTCTTGCCTTCAATGGACTTTAGATCTGGTTTCTTAATGCCTACATTCCTTCATGATGGGGCCCATTCCTGAAGTTCTTAATTACACAAAATGCTGATTTAACTTTCATGCGAGTTTTTGGCCTGAATAAAGATTGCATTGCTGAGCTTTCTAGCACTTTACACAATGTGGTAAAGATAATACAGGGTACATGGCTCTATTTCCTGTGGCCTGTGCATGCTAAATTCAGCCTCCTTGTGAGTACACATTATGATACAATCTATAATTACATGATAAACTTTTTTATTTTATTTTTTCTCCAGGCCCCCTGCCTCATTCAATGCACAATGTGAACCTGCTCTGGGGATGAATTAAGGCTCTGTAGTGAAGGAGGATATTGTCTGTAGGATCCCGGCCTCATTTGTTGCTGGAAGATAAGTAGTGAATAAGTCAGGGGACTGCAGGAAGAGAAAGCAGCGTCTCATGGTGTCACAGAGTGTGGGGGGGGTCAAGGCTCTGTACCCCCCACCTCCTGAGATTCACCGTAACTTGCAGCCAGCCAGTAAAACAGAAGGTTTATTAGATGACAGGAACACAGTCCAAAACAGAGCTTGCAGGTACACACAACAGGCCCCCCTCAGTCTGGTCCATCTTGGGGAGCAGGGAGCCTAGATCCCTGCCCTGGGTCTCTCCCTGTTTCGCTAGCCAGCTCCAAACTGAAACCCCCTCCAGCCACACTCCCACCCCCCCCCCCCACTCCTCCTCCAGCCTTTGTCCAGGTTCCTGGGCAAAAGGTGTCACCTGGCCCCAACCCCCTCCTGGGCTCAGGTTACATGCTCAGGTATCCTCCCTCAAGTGAAGTCACACCCTGATATCCCATCACCAATGCAGACAGTACCAGTAAAACTCCCTGCAACATCCCCAGGTCAATCCTCCCCACTCCCTACTCTGTCACACATGGTTAAAACACTGGAGAACTGACTCCTCTCTACCTGTGCCCCAGAGATCCTGTGAAGTGCTGGACAAATCACTTACCATTAATTTGGGTTGTGTTCTGAATTTTCAAGATGTTCAACTTGAAACCCTGGGTCCAGATTTGCAGAAGTGTTAATAACTCACCACGGCAGTTGAAATCCATGGGAGCTGTGCTTAGCATTATATAGCTCTTTGTACACAGAAAAAAAATCAGGTCCCAGGTATCTCAGGCACGCAGAATTAGCGGATACTCTGTGCCTCAGCTCCCCATTTGTAACATGAGAATAACAGTCTCTCACCTCACAGGGGAACTATAGTAATGAGTACCATAGAAAAGCCCACGAGGACATCATTTAAATCCTGCTCTGAAGATAGAATTAGTGGGTGTCACACTGAATGAGGAGAAAACAAAATATTGAATAGCTGGTCATTGAGTGAGTGCTGTCCAAGCTGTGCACTAAAGATATATGTTTCCAGTTCAAGGAGCTCTGATTGAGAGAGCTTACTAAAAATAGAAGTGTAGTCACAGTGGCAAGAGTGGAGGGAGGGGCTAGCTGCCCCAAGTGTGTATGAAGTATAGACATATCCTAAATATGGTAGGGACCTGGCGGAGGGAGGGAAAATAACATGAAAGACTGCATTCATGATGGTACAAGGGGCTGAATTAAGGTTGCTCAGGCAACCTTAACTCAGGCATTTTCCTAACTTGTAAGTGCTTGACTTTACTACCTTTTTATGACATTGTTTTAATAGGATTTATGTGTAATTTCATAGGTTTTTAAAAAAAGCAAACTGAAAAGACAAATTCTATCATGTGGCTGTCACATTCTGGGGTGAAATTTGGACCAGTAAGAGGTTGTGTCACCACTTGTATTATAATCCTGAGTGCCCCAAAATGCTTCTGCTACTTGTGGCTCTCTGCTGGAGCATACAGCCAGCATGCACTTCATGTTCTGTGTGCTGTACGGCTCGGATGCAAGGTGGTTGAATCCAACTATCTTGCTAACAATTATCACGGACACACTTTTTTTTGTCTTGACTAGACTTGGTTAATGAAACCAGGTGCCTCCAACATGTCCCCAGTCCTGAACTTCCCCAGACCATGTGCTCTGCAATGTCCAGTCCTGTTTCAACTCAGAACAATAAGATCCATTTACTCCTTTAAGGAGACACAACCCCACAGCTTACCACATTAACTGGAGCTGACACTTGCTTTCGCACAAACACAGCACTGTTGGTTTAGATTAACAGTACATACTTTTCACCATGGTATTATTGACTAGCAAGTTATTAGTTTTCAAATGATACCTCACAAGGTATATTTTGTACAAAAATATTAGAATAGTGTGTAGGGTGCTTTGAGTCACAGAGATCCTATTGGCCCCCACAAGATTCATCAGCAAGGTTGGAAACTTTCAGATCCATGACAGCACTCTGCTGCTTGAACAAATGGAGTAACCATGAGGTTGTCATGCTTTGTCTGGACAGGTGATGCCAGCCCCACCCATAATATCTTGTCCTGTTCAAAAATAATTGAATAGATTTTGTTTTCCTCCAACTGCTGCTTTAAAAACTGGAGATATTATTCCTTGGCAACCTGGATCAACTGTCTAAAGGCACATATGGACTTGCTATTTACACCGTGGGAGTGACAACTCAATCCTTAAGCAAGTCTTCGATCCACTCACCAGATGAGCCTGGGACTCTGCTTCCACTTCAAAGGATTCACCCAGATTGTCTAACTCCCTCCTTGTTCCCTTTTTCCCTTCAGGGAAAATTTTAAAATGTGTATTCAGTGAGTTTCCTTAGCAACTTATGTGATCAAGCATAATATTCCTCTGGCATATGCCTGTTAAATTTCACTGCACCTGTAACAGATATGTGAAGTAAATTAAAATGAGCCGTTCCTTAACATTTATTTTCTTGAACGTGAAAGATACTGATTTTGTTCCAAATGTCTGCACTGCATACTATACAGCAGTGAACAAAGATAACATTTGGAGAGAAAAATGGCCTTATAAAGACAAGTAGATTGTCAAGACAAGACTATTTAAATAAATATAAAATGTCACCTTTGTCTATAAATTGCAATGTCTGACTAGTGCTGTAGTTTTGTCTTTCATTCTGTACAGAAACAAGTACATTTAACACTGTATTTTAAATGTGTTGGCATTTATTCATTCAGACATGTTTACTAGAGTCATTAGAAGTCAGATTAGGTTTGATGCTCACTGCCCTTTAAAGCAGGCCCCAAAACAAAAGGCAAAACATGTATCTCAAATGTCAAGCATAACAGATCTCTCACTTACTAGTCAGGATTTCAGGATGTGCATTTACAAAAAAAATTCTGATAGGGATTAAAGAGATAAAACTTCAGAAAATGTAACTGTCTCTTAGGAGACATTCTTTTGTATCCAGACAATGGTAATTCTTCAATTTATAGTGTTAGAAAATAGAACAAAAATGAATGTGGCTAAGTTAAAATGGGAAAATATTATATTTTTTATGTATCAGCAGATAAACTGCCTAGGGTAAGTTTTATATTATTGATTGTGTTTAAACGGGATCATCATTTCTAGTAAAATAGTAAATACAAGTTTCTGTTTTCAGCTCCTAAACTTCTCTGAATTTGGATATTTTTGAAGTTTTAGCTATTTCATCTGGATAAACATTTCATTTAAGTATTTTCATGTGTTCTGTATGATTTTTGTGTTTACATAGAGAAATCACATATATGGTATATAAATGAGAAAATAATTCCCTAAAAAAGGGGCATGGTCTGGGATGGCCTATAAGGGACGCTCATTCAAAGAGCCCAGCTCTAGTAGTTGTTGATGTGGCTTAGGCAGAAAAGAGATACCATAGCTGAAGTGAATACTACCTGTAGTAGCTTCCTATTTTTGTGAAGAAACTAGGAAGACAGATGAGGTAAAGAGTAGGTCGAACATGGACAGTGTGCGGACAGATCATCCTGCACAGGGATTGGTTCCTGCAAAGTAACCAAGCAAATCGAAAAATGTAATGCATTGTATATAATTGCAACAATGTGCAATGCATACAAAGGTAGAGGGTGTCTGTATTACTTTGGAGCTGTGATTGTACCTTACACCCACCCATCCCACGAGTCTAATTAACTCATTGTAGTGTTGCTGTATGCCAAATAAAGATCTCAGTTACAGTCTGGAGTCACAATGAGTTCTAGAGAAGCTGAGTGGAAAAGCAGTCTCAGAGGGAATCTCAACAGAGTGGTGCTGTGACTAGACCTCTAATGTACAGACCCAATGTAAATATTAGCACTTAAAAACACTGGGACACATCATGCATGTGAATGGAGCCTTCCATTTGTAGATCTCCCTAAGATCACATGGAAGGGGATGTTTAGCCAGCTATGAAACATTCTTTCAATCTTACCCTAAACCTTTTGGAGAGCATAGAAGCTGTACCATAGCGTCAGATAAGCACATGCAATTCCAGGTCTCTGCAGTCATAGGTATTGCACACTATGCTGCCCATCACTGTTTGAGTCCAAGAATAGTATTGGGGAAAGTAGTCTGGTGGCAAGTGACCCTTTGCCCAAAACTTGAGCTAAGTTTAAACCTCAGAACTGAAAAAGTTCAGAATATTTTTATTACTTTTCACTTTCACTAGCCTTTCTGCTTCTGAGTAACATCAGAAATATAATTACCGAAATCCCTCAAAAATGGGCACTCTAGTGGTATGCAATACTTGTGGCCCAGCTAGAAGCAGAAACTATGGTAACAGCCTTCATAGAAGAAATGCTATTGCTATCAGACTTTCAGCCCAGTTTCTCATCAAAATCTCTATGGGCCAGATCTGTTTAAAGATCTGAACAATTGGGTGAAACTGAATCTTTTGAGGATCATTCTTCATCAGTGCCAAAGTAAGAATACACATACCCCCACATTCTGTGATGACTGCAAGTCAGTCTTAAAGCTTTCAGAGCCTGACTATTGATCTGCATCCTAACTTGATCTGCATCCTTGTCAGGGTCCCTCCCCACTCTGAACTCTAGGGTACAGATGTAGGGCCCTCATGAGAGACCCCCTAAGCTTATTTCTACCGGCTTAGGCTAAAAACTCCCCAAGGCACAAATTCTCCCTTGTACCTTGGATTAGGTAATGCTGCCGCCTCCAAGTGATTTAGACAAACTCAGGAAAAGGACCACTTGGAGTTCCTACTCCTCCCTAATATCCGCCAAGGCGCCACACCCCCTTTCCTGGGGAGGCTTGAGAATAAACAAGATGAGCACAGACCAACCTTGGGTTTTTTTAGGACACTAAAGAAAAAACCCAATCAGATTCTAAAAGAAACAGAACTTTATTATAAAAATAAAAAAGGATAGAAGTACCTCTGTAAAATTAGAATGGAAGATAATCTTACAGGGCAATCAGATTAAAAAACACAGAGGATTTCCCTCTGTGCCAAACTTTAAAGTTACAAAAAGAAAACCAGGAATACACCTTCCTCCCAGCACAAAGAAAATCACAAGCCAAAACAAAAATAAGCGAATGCATTCCCTTGCTAGTACTTACTAATTCTAATGGAGTTGGATTGCTTGCTTCCTTGATCTGTGTCCGGCAAGCACACAGAACAGACAGACCAAAAGCTTCCCTCCCCCGCCCCCCAAGATTTGAAAGTATCTTGTCCCCTTATTGGTCCTTTTGGTCAGGTGCCAGCCAGGTAACCTGAGCTTCTTAACGCTTTATAGGTAAAAGGATATTGTGCCTCTGACCGGGAGGGATTTTATAGTACTAGATACAGGAAGGTTGTTAACCTTCCCTTTATATTTATGACAATCCTGTTAACAAAAATTGAACTTTAGGGAGAGACTTGAGCTAACCATTTACTAGATGACCTAAATATTTCAGCGCAATAATTGACAAAGAAAAAAAGACTCTGCCCTGGAGAAGTTCAGGATCCCAAAAGTGTCAGACAATATTGTGGTGAATTCGAAGGATGCTTGGGTAACTTTTTTTTTTTCTAGTGACAGGCTCAGCCACTGTGTTTACAGAATGGTGCATCATTCGTTACTCCAGCACTCTGATGAGAATAGGAATGCTAAATATTTTCAAACTTCTGAGTGTGGCATCAGGAGGACTCTCTTCTGACTAGCAAAAGGTGGCCAGGTGCTGCCATTGCAATGCGCCGTGTCACTTTTTCCCTGTCATTTGACTGAGTTATGGGGAGACTCACTTGGTGCCTTCTCCCTTAAGCATCAATGCGTATGAGAGAAGTAGATTTCTTTTTGCATTTGGCTGAATAAAGCTGAGTCCTTTTGGTACAGCATTTGTGTGTTCCCATTTGATTTGTCTTTAATGAAACATGAAAAGTCATCCACAAACAAGCCTTTTTTTGTCCATGAAACAGAAATATCAAAAGTTAGCAACTATAACATTACCTGTGAGAACACAGTTCGTAAGTCTGCTAGTGAGGGCTGTACACACTGTCTCTCATCCTTTCTGCAATCAGTGCCTGAATCGCCGTCAGTAATTTCATTGAGCTCACCACTCTTCACAAAGAAATATTGACAATTCCTCATTAAGATTAGTATTGAATTGTGACCTATTTAGCTGGGTGTAAAGTCCATATGAGCGTATCCCCAAATTTTACTAGCTCTCTATGGCCAGTAGAACTTCCACAATGGCACTCATTACCTCCTTGGACAGCTGCCTGTTTTTCTTTTTCAGGGGACAAAATAACTGCTAACCCATTTTTTTCACATTAGGTTCAACTGAAACAGGACAAATAGCTACAGTAATTCCATGATGATCAACACAGTGACTACAAAAACACCAAGGAGGCCAGTGGCACCTTAAAAACTAGCAGATTTGTTTGGGCACAAGCTTTTGTGGGTAAAAAACCCACTTCTTCAGCTGCAACCCTCTTCTTCGTGCATCAGAAGAAGTGGATTTTTTACCCACGAAAGCTTATGCCCAAATAAATCTGTTAGTCTTTAAGGTGCCACGGACTCCTCGTTGTTTGTGTGAATACAGGCTAACATGGCTATCCTCTGATACTTAACACAGTGACTCAATCTCAGGCCCTGTAAGGATTGCTCTCTGCGTCTCAGGCCCTGTAAGGATTGCTCTCTGACAACTGTGCTTATCTTCTGATTTTTTTCAGAAACACTTTTTTTTTAAAACCCAAAGAAATGAATTTTGTAAATAAATGAACTAAAATCTCTGCTCCTTGCCTGTGCAAATACCTCGGTGTCTCCCATTGTGATGTCTTGGCCTTAGTGGTCTTGCCACTCAGAGGGATAAGCTTTTATTTTTTTTAAACGGCATTCTCTTCCTTCTTCCCCTCCCTCCAGTTCTTCCTCTTCATCTGTTAGGGTCTTTCTTTTTGTTTAAGGCTGTGCCCACCTTAAAGCTTACTCCAATGCTCTTAGGTCCCTCTCTTTTTTCTCCTCTCTAGGGCCCTGATCCAGAAAATCATTCAAGCATGTAAGCAGTCCCACTGAAGTCAATGAGGCAGCTCATGTACAAGTGCTTAAATACTTGACAGAACTGGGGCTTACATACTTTTCTTCTCTCAATCTCATTTTACTGGAGAGGAAATGTTAATTTTCTTCAGGGTCTCTCTTCAAGACCTGTGACCCCAGGATCTCTTGATTCCAGCTGACGGAGGGCACAGATGTCCTCTGGGTTCATCAAAGAAATGCCCCTCATGAAAGACTGTGTCACACTGGTCATCATAATCCTTGAGAGATGTTGTCATAAATATAAAGGGAAGGGTAAACCCCTTTGAAATCCCTCCTGGCCAGGGGAAAGCTCCTCTCACCTGTAAAGGGTTAAGAAGCTAAAGGTAACCTCGCTGGCACCTGACCAAAATGACCAATGAGGAGACAAGATACTTTCAAAAGCTGGGAGGAGGGAGAGAAACAAAGGGTCTGTGTGTCTGTCTATATGCTGGTTTTTCTGCCGGGGATAGACCAGGAATGGAGTCTTAGAACTTTTAGTAAGTAATCTAGCTAGGTACATGTTAGATTATGATTTCTTTAAATGGCTGAGAAAAGAACTGTGCTGAATAGAATAACTATTTCTGTCTGTGTATCTTTTTTGTAACTTAAGGTTTTGCGTAGAGGGGTTCTCTATGTTTTTGAATCTAATTACCCTGTAAGATATCTACCATCCTGATTTTACAGGGGGGATTTCTTTATTTCTATTTACTTCTATTTTTATTAAAAGTCTTCTTGTAAGAAACTGAAGGCTTTTTCATTGTTCTCAGATCCAAGGGTTTGGGTCTGTGGTCAACTATGCAAATTGGTGAAGCTTTTTATCCAACATTTCCCAGGAAAGGGGGGGTGCAAGTGTTGGGAGGATTGTTCATTGTTCTTAAGATCCAAGGGTCTGGGTCTGTAGTCACCTAGGCAAATTGGTGAGGCTTTTTACCAAACCTTGTCCAGGAAGTGGGGTGCAAGGTTTTGGGAAGTATTTTGGGGGGAAAGACGCGTCCAAACAGCTCTTCCCCAGTAACCAGTATTAGTTTGGTGGTGGTAGCGGCCAATCCCAGGACAACGGGTGGAATATTTTGTACCTTGGGGAAGTTTTGACCTAAGCTGGTAAAGATAAGCTTAGGAGGTTTTTCATGCATGTCCCCACATCTGTACCCTAGAGTTCAGAGTGGGGGAGGAATCTTGACAGATGTATTATGCAAAATATGGGGGGGAGTTATGTATACATGATGAAAATTATGTTCTCTAGGCCTTATAGTGAAAGGAAGGTCCCTCAGAGGTGCGCAGTGAGACAAACTTCTCCAGATAGGAGGTAGGAGACACTTATTTATGTGGTGGACCATTGTGTGTCATACAATAGAAATCTATTAGCATACTGAATCATAATGAAGAGCTTGCGAAGACTTCAGTAGGAAATTAATAGGAAGAGGTAAACAGCAGGGAAGGGGGAGATCCTCTTTTCTGGTAGAAATTGAAGGACTGATATAGTTGGGGGTGCACAGAAATGCTCTGGCATCCTTCAGTCTATGAAGACAAGTTGAGAGCGGGCTTAAACTTATGAAAAGGGGATCTCAACCATCCTAGTTGAAAATGCTGGGAAAAGGAGTTGGGGTAATCTATCCTGCAGGAGACAGGGGAAGGTTTTGTGAATTAAGTTTAGGCTCTAGAAAATGTGTTTGTTTTATAGGTAACCAAATTTCCAATAATATTACTTACTATCATTTGAATCTTGTCTTTGATGATAAACTTATTCTTGTATTCACTATAAATACAGCTAAGTACTGTGTCTTAAGTAGAGTGGTGATCCTCAGTTGAATATACTAAGCTGGTATGTACTTTTCCATAGGGTTTAGAGGACCTTAGGCCTTGTCTACATTACTGCTTAAGTCAATGTAAGTTATTTTGCTCAGTGGTGTAAAAAAACCCCATTCCCCGAGCGACATAACTTACAGTTTCCACGGTATACATCTGATGAAGTGAGCTGTAGCTCACGAAAGCTCATGCTCAAATATATTGGTTAGTCTCTAAGGTGCCACAAGTACTCCTTTTCTTTTTGCGAATGCAGACTAACACGGCTGTTACTCTGAAACATAACTTACATCGACTTAACACAGTTTCTACACCGTGCTGTGTCAGTGGGAGATGCTCTCCTACTGACATAACTTCCGCCACTATGTTGTTGATGCGAGAGTGCTCTCCCATTGACTTTTTGAGTCTTCACCAGCCCTGATAAATTGATGCCACTGCATCGAGGTGCCAATTTAGTGCGGTAGTGAAGACAAGCCCCAAGAGTTCAGTGAAACAGAGCACTCTGGAGGATGAAGCAGTTGGTGTGTCTCTATCGTTAATCTGTAGAGAGAGAGTGAGGCCTGCGGAGACCTGGACGGTAATGCTTACCAGGGACTGGTGGAGTCTGTGCCTGCTGTGGATCAGCTCCTGGCCATGGGCACACTGGAAAGCATCACAGGTCCACTCTTGCTGCTACCCTATTCAGGGTACAACCTTCCTCGTGATAACGTCTGGGAATCCTAAAATGGTGGTACCCCACCCTTCTGGAACTAACTGGAAAACCTCAAATAACTGACAATGAAAGAGGCAAATTCTGACTGAATCAGTTGCTTTTGAGTTTTGTGAGGATGTCAACCTCTGCAAGCACTTTGTACAATTAAAAGGAAACCTTATATGGTAGAAAACTTAAAACTATACAAAAGTTTTGTCCCTGAATATATGTAAGACCATGAAGTTCAATGGAATTTGAAATATATTTTAATAGGTTCTTCCATCTCTATCAATAATTTGGTCATTTATAGTATCTGCCTGTTCTAGGGCTGTGCACCTGATATTCATTTTGAGTCAATTTCTGGATCAGACTGTGAGTAATACAAATACAATTGCCAAAAGCTTTTAATAGTGGTGTGCTTCTCTTCAAAGGCAAATTATATTGTGTTAATATTGTTCTCTAGAATCTTACATGGACTCAAAAAACTAGGCTCAAGGCCAAAGACTTATCACAGAATTACACAGTCTTCTTTAACTAAGAAGCCTTTACAGATATTTGTATGTAATATACATCAAAGCCCACCTCTTTTCCCAGGCTTCAGTACTGGTATTTGAAAACTGAGGCTGCTAT